CCGCAGTAAGTTTAAAAAAGATTTTTTAAATTTAAGTTTATAATGTTAAATGATAAATTTTTTTTTCATTTTTTGTTCAAATTTCAATTCATTTTATTTTTTTTAATTTTAAATAATTTTTTTTTCATTTGTTCAAATTTTAATTTATTTTATTTTAATTTTTAAATAATTTTATTTTAATTTTTCAAAATTTAATTATTTTAATTTTTTTTTCACATTTTAATTAATTTTATTTTATTTCTAATTTCAATTTCATTTTTTCTCATTTTAATTTATTTTATTTTTTTAATTTCAATTAATTTTTTTTTTAAATTTTAATTAATTTTATTTTTAAAAATTTTAATATTATTTTACTTATTTTAAATATTCAAAAAATTTTTTTATAAACTTTAAATAATTTTTTTTTCAAATTTAAATAATTTTATTTTAATTTTATCAAATCTTAAATAATTAGACTTTTATAAATTTTTCAAATTTTAAATACTTTTATTTTTTCAAAATTTAAAGTTTTATTTTCATTTTTTCAAATTTTAACTAATTTTATTTTCAATTTTCTAATTTTAATTAATTTTAAATATTCTTTTTTTTAATATTTTTAAATTTTAAAACATTTTATTTTATTAAATTTAAAATTTTATTTTCTTAATTTCTTTCGAAAAAAATTAGAAAATTATTTAACACAAATTTTAAGTATTTTTTAAAGAATGTTAAAAAAATTGTATAATTTCTTAGTTTTTTAACACGATTTTAAAAAAAATTCACAGTTTAAGAACACTGTAATGCTTGATTTTTTGATTAATTGTATTCTATTAAGAACTGAAGCACAATGTGCACGTGCGCTTTAAAGCGCATATCTAGTTGTAAATTATAAAAAATACAAAAAAATATTCTAGTTAGAAGAAGTTCTATTTTACAATCAAAATTATATTCATTCTAAGAAAATAATGAGAAATACTGTTGCAAAGCGTTAACGTTCAAAAGAAACCATACTTGTCTTTGCTAAGAACCAAAAATACATTATAGCATGTAAACCATCGAATGAGTATACAGGTCATATTGGCATGTAACCCTTGCAGAAGTAGTTTGTGCTATCAGCTTTTAACAGGTTACTACCATGTAAAAGCTAGAAATTGGTTTTAAGCAAATGACTTCTGTCTTTCTTTGTTGTTTTTTCTTGCCTAAAACAATAGTTGTGCAAAATTTAACATTTAGCCTCAGTCTCCCCTACTATTAAGCAATACAATATTTGTGAAAAAAAGTTTACAATGACAAGAAAAAAGAAGTATAATATTTATAAACAACAATAGATAGGTTTTATTATCTTATATCGAGAAACTTGTTCATTATATCCCCACTTACTCTTTACTTGCTTGAGGATAAAAAAATCACATTCTTAAATTACGAAAAAATGAGTAAGTGTCAATTTAAAAAATTCATGAAACTTCCATAGAAAATGAAAAGTAATGATAGACTTGTCAGACATTGCTGTAAAATATACATTCATTTCAAAATTGTGTTAAACAAAAGACTGATAAGAAATGAACGGCATTTTTTCTGGTCAAAAGAATGATTTCCGAAAAAAGGGAAATGTGAACATTTGATCGCGGCCTCTCAGGGTCGGGTATACCTTAGGCAGTGTTCAATATACCTTGTCACTGTGCAGGACGTTTACGTTCAGAAGAAACCATACTCGTGTTTGCTAATTACCAATTAAATTGAGTTTAACTTAATGCTTACATTGGTTCTAAGCAAATGTTTTATGAATTTCTTCGTTACCCACGGTGTCAATTGTTGATACTAGCTTTCCCGACAAACATGGTGTATCTGACAATGGCTTTTGGATGCATTAGCCGCCTGAAGACTAGCCTCTATGATAATGCTTCATGATGGGTTTCAATTCGCATTCGGTGGTGAATAGCATACTCTGACGAGTACTTGAAAAGGTTACATTCTGTTGACAAGAATTAATGTCGTTTATGTAAACTAATTCCTCTTGACTCTCTAGTCTTCTTTATCTTGAGAGAAAAATTTTTGTAATAAGAAGCAGAGCGAAAAAATTAACATCTACTGCTACTTCACTTTATATTTATTCATATTTATTAATATTTGTATATTTTACATTTTTGTCTTGACAATCACAAAGAAACAATAACAATAGTGAATCTTTCCACACGCTTGATTACTTATTCCAATTAGAAGAAGTTCTATTTTGAAATTAAAAATTGGTATTCAAAGAAAAATACCTTTTATATTTATATCTTACTTCTTTTTTCTTTTTCCTTGTCAATGTAAATAGAAAAGTATAAAAAGTATATACTATTTACGTTAAATTTTACATTATTACTGAGACTGAAGTTATCAATGTTTTTGATTATATAAAAAAGTAAATTTTTCGGAAATATAGAACAACTGCAACATTTTCGATTAAATTGATATTTCATGTTTAGAAATTCGGTTAAAATAAGCATTCGATGTTCTTAAAATTCGTTTAGATGAACATTCCACATTTTAAAAATTCGAACAAATAATAATTCGATGTTTTAGAAGTTCATCGTATAATTATTCAATATTTGTATAAATTCAATCTAATCGTTATTCTATCGTTCAGAACTTTGGAAAATCGCATACAACCGTTAATTTAATTAAATGTTATATTATTTTCAAATTTCGCGCTTTTTTTATACGTAAATTTCCAGAAGGAACTTTAACTTTAAAATTTAAAAGTATTTTAAAAGTAATTTCAAAGAATTAAAATTAAAATTAGTTGAAATTAAAATGAATTAAATATTAAAATGAATTAAAATGAAAAAGAAATGAAAATTAAATTTAACAAACGCATTTTTGCCCCTTGTAGGTTAATCCGAGGCCTGCTAATAGTGAAAATTTCAAGTTAATTTCAGATCAACATCAGCAAATTCCATTGTTTTTCTCTAAGGTATAAAATTCTTTATATTTAAAATTTTTTCCATTTAAAATTTCTTTGATTGTTTTGTAATTAAAGTATGCTTTCTGTTTCAGGTCAACGTTTTTCAGTTGCAGTTTAACATACTTATTTCTTTTTTGTATAAAATATGTTTGTTGCGGACGAATTGGCATTAAGTTACAAAAAAGAAGAAGGATAAAAAACTATTATAGTTTAGTGCCCCCACTGCTCAAACAGATTGTATATTTAAAATAAGTAAAACCATTTTGTAATATTTATAAGAAAATAATATAATGAAATAATTGTAAACAATTTATTTCCCCCATCTTATCAGTCCTCTCCAAAAATTAAAAATCCGAATCATTAATTCATGACAAACACGGTATTAGAATAACAATACTTTTTATGTTTTTTTTTGTTAAATTTTTTTTCTTCTATTTTTTATTAATACGTTTTTTTATTCTGTTTAATGTTTATATTTTCATATGAAGTGTTTTCTCCGTTTTATGTTGTATTTCATGTTGCAAATAATTTTAAAATAAAAAATATATACTTTTCCATTTTAAAATCTTTTTATGTTTGACGAAATATTTCTTCTGTTTCTGGTTGACATGTTTTTTTTATGTTTTGTCAAAAAAATATTTTTGATGCATATGTTTTTTATTCTGTTTAATGTTTATTTTTTTGTATTAAGTTTTCTCTCCGTTTTATGTTTTATTTCATGTTGCATGATATTGCAAATAATTTAAAAATAAAAATATATACTTTTTTTCTTTTAAAATCTTTTTCTTATGTTTGTCGAAATATTTGTTTCTCTTTCAGGTCAACATGTTTTTTTTTATGTTTTGTCAAGAAAATATTTTTTTCTTTGGTTAATGTTTTTGCTGTTTTCCTGTAAAATATTGTATCATGTGAAAATGTTTTCTTCTGTTTCGGGTCAACATTTTTTTTTGCAAATTTTTTGCATGGCAAAATATTTTTATGTATCATGTTGACATTTTTTTCTCATGTTTGTCACATTTTTTCTGTTTCCCCCCTTTTTTTTAGTTTTAGGTGAAAATAAATTTGTCTGGTAATATTTTATAAATTTATTGTATATAAATTAATATATTTTTTCAGCGGTCCTTCGGAACACAATATATTTCCGTCAATGTTATTAATATTGACGCAAATAAATTGTGCTCCATATTAAAAAACAAAGTCTCGAAAAAATTTTATTTTTCAATTTGTTTATTGAGAATTTTAAAGACTTTGCTTTTAATGTGTTCAATCGGAGAAAAATTTTATTTTACCAAAGTTCAATATTTATTTTCTATAAATAAATATTGAATTACTGAGACAAATATTTATTTTTATTTGATTCAAAAAAAATTATTTTTGATTGAAATAAAAAAATTTTCTTTCGTTGAAGGGGGGAGTGGAATAGGCCTATTCCACATTGTCCCAATCACAAATTCAAATACGTTAAAATTGTAAACGTGTTTTGCTATAAATTTGTAATTGGAAGAATTGTGTGCAATGGGGAAACCATACAAAAACGCGTCTGATGTTCAACCTCTTGGGTGACGCGGAATAGAACATAAAATTTTATATTTTTTTCAAAAATGATGATTGAAATATTAGAGAAAATTAATTTTATTTATTTATTATATTTATTTATTACTTCCATATATTTGAGAACTAAACATTTTTTTCTATACTTGAAAAATTTGCCTAATTAAAGACCTTTGTGTTATAATAAATAAATGAGAAATTTATAAAATAAAAGAATATTTCTTCTAATTTTAAGAATTTTATTTGTCTGACCGAAAACCTTTGTTCTACTTAAAAAATAGCTTAGTTTGATTCTAAAATTTTTATCCACTTAAAAATCCAACCAAGCCTGACTAAAATCTTTTCTTCTACTTAAGAATTAAAATCAGTTCTGTTATTTCTTGATTTTTCTATCCGAACCGGAGATTAAAAATACTATTTGCTATAATTTGTCTACGTTTCCAAAATTAATTTCTTGAATGGAAAATTATTTAGTCAGACAAACTTTGCCAGTGGGTAAATTTTCATTGAATTAAATACTCACCTCCTTGAAGTGAAGGATAAATATAGAAGGCAGGTTCCTGTAACCAGGATACTACTCGAACCAGGTCCCTAACGAAACTAGGCACTACGCAACGTAAAACTGCTGTACAGCCTCTCGAAGCTCCTCCAATCACCTCCACGTCCACTTTGTACGCTTGAGCCACCACTGAAACAAAGAAATTTTTTAAAATAACTCTTTTTATTTTAATTTAAATAATTTATTTATTTAAAGTCCATAATTCAAAATCGTTGAAATATTGAGAAAATATTGTCAATGATGCAATTTTCGATGCTGTAGATGGAAAGGAATACTTTCTCACATAAGGTACATACAAAATAGTATATAAAATATTCTTCGTGTGCGAAAAAGCGACAAAGTACTCGTGACAAGAAAGCACGTCGTAATTGTTATTTTTCATCGTCTCGTCGCGTTGTTTCGTCTGCTGCACTAGACATTTTATGGAAGAGAAAATTTTCTCGAACCAGTTGCTATAGAATAATATGACGTTACATGAAAATCCCTTAGAGGAAAAGGTATACGAGCCTCTGCTACATTTTGTCCTCTACCCTCCTTTCTATCAAAGTAACAATAACTTGCCTTGTCGATCGTTATATTCGCAAAATAAAACATGAATTTTATTTTTCATCAAAACAAAAAGTTTTTTTTCATCTTGTTTTCTCTGGGTTTAAATAATTTTCTCAATAATTTTGACTTTTAATTTATCCCAGAGAATTTTTTATTTTTTCTGCTTTTGCTTGTCTTATCGTACGAAAAAGAAAAGTAGAAAAATTAAACCACAAAAGAAATAATAATTACCACCTTCTGTTTACAATATCCACTATAATAATGAAAAGAAACTTTCCAAATTCAAAAATAAAAATACTTTTTCAAAAAAGTTGCAATTGAAATATAGCATTTGAGTTATACCAATGAAATCGGTTATAAAACTAGGTTGAAATGAGAGTGCAGGATTTTCTTTCATTGAGTTGAAAACGGAAAATAAAGTTTTAATTAACGAACACACGCATACCATACGCGAGTCCGTACTGGAACTGTGGATAAACTTTATGTTCAGAGAGGTTGCTTGGCAATACTGAAAAGCGTTGGCCAGCTCGCAGCTGCCATGGATTTGCATTCAGATTGCGTTTTTTTTTCTTTTTTAAAGAGGTAATTACACCAAGCCGTATACTATTCGTATGAAAGCTCCCTCCAGAGTCGAGTTGAGACTCAATGCATTTAGTTTGTCTCAGTGAGTAAAAAGATGCATCGCACGCACGAGTGCATATTAAATAAAAAAAAAAATGAATGAATGAAAAAGAAAAAAAAAACCGATTAACATCTACTTTCGTCCCATGTTTCTCAACTTTTTATTTACCTTAAAATCCATATCTCCCTTAAGGGCATTTTGATGCTTTGTACATTCATGTTATGCAAATGAAAACTCTAATGCCCTTTGAGCTAAATTTCAAATGTTTTAATTCATTTTACCGTGTATCAAATGAACACTGTGTTGTAGTTTTACCATCAAAGCTTTTGTAGCATGAAATGTCTCATGTAAATAAGTTTGTCATGAAATTATTATAATTTCAGTAGACTTAAAACATGTTTTCAAAAGCTCTCGCATTTTTTCTTTTTATGAAAAACGGGATTGCATACAAAACTTTGTTATTGCGTCATGGTTTATTTTATTGACTTTCATTGACATTATACAGTAAAAACTTGCGTTCAAAATCTCCGTAAGGGGTTCATACCCGTAAGCTTAAAACCTGAAGAGTTAGAAATTTGTCTGACTAAAATTTCCTGTACTACTAAAATCAACGATTTTCAATTCGTACCAACCTAAAATTTGTTTCTACTATTTATTTGACGAATAAGAACGTTTTCTTAACGGTTCCTCTAAACAATATCTTTACAAACGTTCCGTCTGACTAAAACCGTTCTATACTACTTAAATACTTCGTTTTCAATTCCTGTCTGACTAACATTTGCCTTTACTACTGACTTGAATGATAAAAAAGTATTTTTACCACTAGTACTTAAAAATAGAGGTGTATTTTTATTTACCAACTTTATTGTTGTTTTGTCTGACTGACGCCGTCCGTTACTACTTCAATCAACAGGTTTTAATCCATGTCTGATTAAAATTTGTCTATACTACTGATTTAAGTAGTAAAAACATATTTTAACACTTTTACTAAACAAAAAACAAATTCATAAACATCTTGTCTGACTAAACCTAGTCTTTACTACTTACATTGACTAACTTTGAAATTTGTCTTACTGAAATTTAATTCTACTGATGATTTGAATAATTATTCTGGTTTTTTATACTAATGATTCTTTACATGAGAACTTTGAACTCTTTTGTCTGACTAAAACTAGTCTTTACTACTGAATTCGACAAATTATAACTTTGACTAAAAATTATGTAACTGCTATTTTGAATATTAAATATGAGTTTTCATATTTTTGTTATTTTTTTGTCTACTTCAAACTGTTTTGCATAAGTTATCATTCGTTACAAAATAAATAAAAGGTATTCAATTTTTTTAATAAAAAATTTGTCCTCACTACTAATTTTAACCGTAAAAAACGTGTTTTTAACCTTTTTTGTAGCAATGAAAATTTATACAACAGTATCTTATTGAAACTATTTTTTAATACATAATCTGATAAATTTGACTTTGTCTGACCAAAATCTGGTTCTACTACTTACAATTGATAATGGCTTATATTCGAATTTATACATACGCAAATGTTTAAAGTTTATAATAAGTAATTGAATGTTTAATCCCTGTCTGACTAAAACTGTCCTTTACTACTAAAATAAATTGTTTACAATGTTTGCCTGACTAAAATTTGTCTATACTACTTATTTCATTAATAAAAATATATTTCTAATACTTCTCCTTGCATTCACACCTTTGTAAAAGTCTTGCCAGACTAAAAATCTTCTTTACTTCTCCAAATTCAAATTTCAAATTTGTCTGACAAAAACTTACTTTTACTACTTCTGCAAATATTTAATATCACAGTAAAACGTGAAGTGTTAAAATAACACCAGAAAGGATTAAGATAATCTATTTTGGTGTTATTTTTAAATTTTAACTATGAATAAAATTTTACTTTAAATAAAACACCAAAGTTAACGATTTGTAAAAATTCAACGAATTTAGCTTCTCCAGGGATAATAGTAAGTTAGTAAGAACTAACTTAGTAATATAGTTACTGAATTCAATTGTGTTCAAAAATTTAAAAAAATTCTCGTCAAAATTTCAATTATCTTTATAAATAATAAAATTCTTCTCTGATATTCAATTATTTTACAAAATTTTAATCAAATTCTTGTCAAAATTTCAATTATTTCCAAATTTTTACTAAAATTTAATCTACTATTTCAATAAAATTTTTCAAAAGAATTCCATTATTAAAAAAATTTTGAATAAAATTCTACGCAAACATTTAATTATTGTCATAAATAATAACATTTTTTACAGAAATTCAATTATTTACAAATTTTTTTTTGTAAATTTCTTCGCAATAATTCAATTATTTTCATAAATAATAACATTTTTACAGGGATTCAATTATTTTTATAAAAAATGAAATTCTTTTAGAATTTCAATAAATTATTGTCATAAATAATAAAACTCATTGCCGAATTTCAATTATTTTTAATGCAATTTTAATCGAATTCCTCGAAAAATGTAATTATTCTTAAAAATTTTATTAAAATTTGTCCAAAGAATTTAATGATTTAAAAAATTTGTTGATAACATTTTTTATGAAAATTTTTAATTTCAAGAAACGTGAAATTAATAAATTATTTATTTTTGTATTCAAATATAATTGAATTCTCGTAGAGTTTACTAATAAAAATGGTTTTTAAAATGAATTTCAGTTAAAATTTCAGATAATTGAATATTGAAAGCATTATAACGTGGATTTTTAAAAATAATTAAATTTTGAAATAGTTTCAAACTAAAATCATTGAAATTCTTAATTTTTCATATTTTTGACAAACAATTCTGTAGAATTAATTCAAGTTTTTATTTTTCAATATATATTTAATTGCAGAATTTGCGAATAATTGAAATTTTGTAAAATTGAATTGTAAACGAGTGAATTTGAAAATTCTCATAAAACTCATCGCAGCGTTTCAATTATTTTTCATACAATTATAATTGAATTCCTTGAAAGAAGTAATTATGTTCATGTAAGTTTTAATAAAATTCGACAAAAGAATTGAATTATTTAAAAATTTGTTACTAAAATTCTTTATCAGAATTGAATTTTCAGAAATATTCAATTATTCAATAAATTATTTACTTTTGCATTAAAATAATTAAATTCTTGTCGAATTTTCTAATAAAAATTGATTTTCATTTCATAAAAATGAATTTCAGTTAAAATTTTAGATTATAATTGAATATTAAAAGCAATATAGCGTGAATTTTTAGAAATAATTGAATTTTAAAATTAATTGTTTTGAAAAAGTTTAATTGAATTTTCTTTTATATTATTTGAAGCTTTTATTGTCTAATATGCATTTAATTAAAGAATTTAGGAATAATTGAAATTTCGTGAAATTGAATATTGTAAACAAATGGATTTGAAAATTGCTAAAGAACTTTTTCGAAAATTATTAAAAATAATTAATATATCAAGTAAAATTGTAGTTAAAAATTTTTAAAAATAATAATTGAATTGAAATGATGAAACACTTTTTAATACCTCACGATTTACTGTGAATTAATTTAATAACTATACGTTACTATATTATATCAACGTTTTTAATTTTTGTCTGGATAAAATTTTTCGTTACTACTGACAGTAGTTTTTATTACTTAATTTGACAAATTCGTAATTAGTCTGACGAAAACCTGTCTTTACTACTTAATTTCACAAATTTCAAACTTGTCTGACTACAATTTGTCATTACTACTTAATTACTACAAAAAAAAAAAAATTTTTACTACTAAAATAAACGATTTTCAATTTCTGTCTGACTCATCGCAGAATTTCAATTATTTTTAATACAATTTTAATTGAATTTCTTTAAAACAGTAATTATTTTCATTTTTAAGATTCGACAAAAGAATTCAATTCTTTAAAAATTTGTTGATTAAATTCTTTATGAGAATTCAATTTTGAGAAATATTCAATTATTCAATAAATTATTTACTTTTGTATTGAAATAATTTAATTCTCGTGGAATTTTCTAATAAAAATGGTTTTTAATATGGATTTTAGTTAACATTTTAGATTATAATTGAATATTAAAAGCAATATAGCTTGAATTATTAGAAATAATTGAATTTTGAAATTAATTTTTTTGAAAAAGTTTAATTGAATTTTCTTTTATATTATTTAAAGTTTTTATTTTCTAATATGCATTTAATTGAAGAATTTAGGAATAATTGAAATTTCGTGAAATTGAATATTGTAAACAAATGGATCTGAAAATTGCCAAAAAACTTTTTCGAAAATTATTAAAAATATTAGATTTAAAGTAAAATTGTAGTTAAAATTTTTTGAAAATAATAATTGAATTGAAATAATGAAAATAATTTTGAAGAAGTATAATATTCTTATAATATAAAATAATGATTTTATTACTTGGTCATCTTTAATTATTATAAAATATAAAGAAATCGATGACTCCGAGTCGAAGACTCGGAGTTATCTCTCTAAATTTGAATTAGTAAAAATGTTTACTAAGAATTAGTGACTGACTTTTTGCTTTTGAATTAGTAAATTTTACTAATAAATAGTAATTTCTACTAATTTATTAGTAAAGTTTACTAATTCAAAAGCAAAAAGTCAGTCACTTATTCAAATTAGTAAACATTTTTACTAATTCAAATTTAGAGAGATCGATATCTTCATGTTTTATAGTTAAAAAAAAATTTAATAAACTAAAATTAAAATTACTTTAACCTGAGATATTTTATAGGATCAGATATCAAAATTTTTTCAGTGTACGATGAGTTATACAGTGAAAATATTTTCGTACACAGAGGAAAGAGAAAAAAAATTCTAGTTTACTTTTTATAAATAATGAAGGACAAGTTTCTTACCAGCTCGGACTTGAACGTCGCGACTAAGGACTCGCCCGACAGAATTGCTGGCGACACATCTGTATGCTGCACTGTGGACGTCCTGCCTGTAAGCTGCAGCCGGAAACGGAAGAAGGACGAGGGTGCCATTACTGAGTACTCTTCTGACACTGGGTATGTCGCCGACTGGAAGACCGTCGACAGTTGACCAGTCAATGTTGGGCTGAGGACTGCCAGTAGCCGCGCAGTCAAGCCAGGCGCCACTCGAATTTGAAAATTCCACTCTAGACGATGGCTCTATGAGAAAACTCGGTCCACGGAGGTGAGCGTCAAAACTGTGGCCGCTTGAAGATGAAACTGCCGCTGTTGCTCCTGTAATCAAAATTTTAGATTTCTTCTCATTCTCTTGTCACAATAATAATAAATTAAAATAAGGAAAATAATGAAATTATTTTAGTAATAAATAAACATTACTGTATAATAATAATAATAACAGATCTATTTTCAATAGTTTCTAATTTCTATATTTACAGAATAGAAAAAGCAGGACAATAAAAACTACTCCATTTTTTAGTCTCCAGATGAGAAATGACTATCTATTAGAAAATATTCTCAACTTAAAAAGCAATTTTCCCTCTTCGCCATAACACACATACAACATACATATATATATTTAAACAGTGTATATACGCGTGGGAACGCGTGAAATCTCCCTTCTATGCATTGAATCTTGTTTGAGAAAGGATATAAACGCCGTCAGCGTGTGTAACGTGGGGGAAAAAGCGGGTAGCACACTATATATGTCAGCATTGCAGATTCGCGGATTACGAGAATAGCAACTGTAAATTCAACGTCGATTTCCAAGAGATTCCATTTCCAATCGCATTTATCTGTCCATGTATATATTCACTTCACACATATATACATAAATGTTTTCATTTCAACTTTCAAATTTCAAGGAAAAACTTTCTTCTCTCAAAACAAAAGAAAAAAAAAATGAAGCGAGCGTATCTCAGTTTAATTTTCAGAAAATGTTACTTTAAATTCACAACAAAAAACTTTTACTTCTTTTTTTTTTTGCTTCTTCAAAACAAAACATAAAATACGCTATCGATTCTTCTTACAAAACTATTCTTTAAACTTTTTCCATCAAAGATACCATCAAATATACCATCAAAGATACATAAAAGATAACAACGAACATTTACATAAATTTTCTTTAGAAAAAAAAATCTAGAGATTTTTTTAAAAAAATTTTGATGAAGATATAGAAATTATGCAATTTCTTTTACCTACTTATTTAAAAAAAAGTGGAGATTTATTAAAACATTGAGAGAGAGAGAAATGTAAATTATACGGATTTATTACCTTCTTTCAAAATAAAACAACTGAGAATTATAGAGAGATTTTTTTTCAATTCTTTTTTCAAATTCTCAATTATTCAATATTTTTCCAATTAATTTCACAAACGAAAATTGTGATTATAAAATAGATATTATATATTTTTTCATTTTATCTAAGAAAAAAATGGGGTATTTTTAAAATTCTTTTTTCACATTAATTTCACAACAAAAAATTGTGATTATAAAATGGAAATGATATATTTTTTTTATTTATCTAAGAAAGAAATTATAATTTCATTAAAAAGCATGTTTATCAAGTAGAAAGGCTCTGGAATTTTTTTCTTCTTTTTATCTAGAAGAAAATTAAAATTTTGTAAAAAAATGTAATATTTTTTCCCTTATTTTGGAAAAAAAATTTGGAATTTTGTTAAAAAATTATAGTAGAAATTGTGCAAATTATTTCCTTTTTTTTTAAATAACAAAATTTCGTTGAAAAATTGTGATTAAAAAAATAAAAGTATACGAAAAAAGTCCAACTTTTTAAATTTCAGAAAGAATTAATGAATGAATGAAAAAATACCAATAAAAAAAGTGAATTCATAAAAAAAATTTTTTTTAAATGAAAAAAGTTTTTTTTCGAGAAATTTAATTGTAAAAACTATTTCTACATGGAATATTTAATACACACGTGATAGAATATTACCATAATGTTGGACTTAGTCACCTATATAATCGATTCCGTTTATGACAGACTGGCAAATTATTATTACCGTATCGGTCAGTGATTACACTTCCTGCACATGTATAGATTCATATGTATTATGTATATCACCATTTATATACATATACAATATATAAGAGCAAACATGAATAGTAATGATCTTTAGAGCAAGCTGTCAATTTGGATGAATATATATTTAGGATATTATTCATGCTTGTTCACAGTATCCTGGCTTATATGGTCGGAAACTTTCATAATTTTGTAATTTATTTCACGAATTTTGTCTCATTTTTTTTTTTTTTTGCTGTTGTTATTTATTACACACTTTTTTATATTTATTACCATTTTTTTATTTATTACTTATTTCTTAGTATTTTTTATTTATTACTTATTTATAAATATTTTTTCCTTTTTAGGGTTTTTTTATATAGTACTAATTTTTTTTGTAGTATTTCGTATTTTTTTATTTTACTTTTTATTATTTTTATTACAATTTTCTATTTACCACTATTTTTTTATTCCTATTTTTTAATTTATTAGTATTTTTTTTAATTGACTTTAGTTTTTATTACTATTTGTTTCACTTATCACTGTTCTCTATTTATATCAGTAAATTTATTTAAATTAATAATTAAATAATTAAATAAAATGATTAATTAAATAATTAAAAAAGTAAATTATGAATTTTAATTTTAAAGAAAAGTCCAATTTCCGAATAATTTAGGGGGAGAGAGAAAGACCAGAACTGTTAGATATTAATCAGGGCATATTCCTGATTGTGAGTAACGAAAAAAATATAATCAATGAAAATTCTTTATTGTAAAGTACAGCAGTCAACATTTTTTTTTTGAAGAATTTTATTTTTTAAGAATAAAAAAGAATGGAAAAAATAAGAAAAAAATATAAATAAAATAAGTAGGAAAGAGAAAAAAAATTTTAAATTACGAAAAAGAAAAAAATAAATATAAGAATAGAAAAAGTGGGAAGTACAAATAATGAAAATAGAATAGTAAGTAGGAAATAGTAAGTAGAAAAGAAAAAAATAGAATAGTAGATGTAGAAAATAAAAATATAATAAAAATAGTAGGAAATTAGAATAATAAAAATGAAATAAAAAAGCAGTAAATTGAAAAATTATAATAAAAAATAGCAAATAGAACAAAAGAAATAAAATAGAAATAGAATACAAAAATTAGGAACTAGAAAAAGTATAAAATAAAAAACGAATCGTAATAGAAGTAGTAGAAAATTGAAAAAATTAAATTAAATTTAAATAAGTAGGACATAGAAAGAATATAATAAAATTGTATGAAATAGTGAAAATATCAATGAAAATTGTTTATTCTTTTATCATTTATAATTCTGTTTTGCTTTAACTTTTGTAATTTATTTATTTTATGTTTTTATTGAAATGCATTTTCACAGAAAATAAAAAGTGTGATTTTAACTTTTTTCCCTACTTTTTTCTGTGTTTGTAGTACAAGAAAAACCAGAAATGGGTAAAAAAATTAAATTCTGTCCACATCTAAAGTTAGTTTTTGTGTATTCTTTTGTTTTTTTTCTTTAAAAAAAATTTGTTTTGACAAATCGAAAATATGCAGGTATTTTTTCATGATTCATAATAAAATAATATTAGAAATTAGAAAATTTAAAAAAAAATGATGATTAACAAATGAAAAATTTACCCATTTTGTTTATTATATGCTTTTTTTATAAAAAAAGTTTCGTTTGACTGCGATCTAAATTATGCAAATTTTTTTCTTCTTTATTTATAAAAAATAGAAAATTTGTTAAAAAATTATGATTAAGAAATAGTAAATAAATACCCATTTTATGCATTATTTTTATTTCTTAATAACAATATTAATAACACTTTTTTTTTATTTTGGGAAAAAACATTACATATTCCCGTTTCTTAATATTTTTGTAGAAAATTTTTAACTTTCATAAGGGAATAATTTATATTATTTCAATTTTTTAATTACAATTGTTTTAATAAAATTCAAAGTTTTTTTTTTTAAAATAAACGAAACAAATGTTTATAAAGTTTATAAATTCTATTTGTTAATTACAAATTTTCATTTGAAAATGAAAATTTTTGAATTTTTAGAAAATAAAGAAAACAATTTTTCTCAAGAAAAAAAATGTTCTGTTACATTTTTACAAATTTCTGTAATTGTAAAATTATTCAAAAACAAATTTCTTTTTTTAAATAAATAAAATTTTTGAAATTAAATAACTTATAAAAGTATATTTTGCTATAAAACATGAAGATATTGATTGCTCCGAGTCGAAGACTCGGAGTGATCGATTTCTTCATATTTTATAATAATTAAAAATTTATGAAAATAATTGAATTATTGCGAAGAAATTTATAAAAAAAAAAAAAATTGTAAATAATTAAATTCTTATGGAATTTTTTTTTATTTTTGACAATAATTAAATGTTTACACTTTACACACAATTTTATTAATTTTTTTTTTAAATAATTGAATTTTTCTCAGAAAATTTAATTAAAATAGTAGATATTGAAAATAATTGAAATTAGGACAAGAATAAAGTTATTTTTGAAAATAATTGAACTTTATGGGGAAAAATGTTGTTATTTACAAAAGATAATTGGGATTCCCTACCAATTGTCCTAATTTGAAATTCCTAATTTCAGAAATTCCTAAAAGTCTTTTTGCTAAAGTTAAAATTCCTAATCAAACTTTCCTAATCTGTTTTTCCTAATTCTATTTATTTTCCTAATTTTCCAAAAAAAATTATGCATTCAAAAATTAAAAATTTTACATTTGAATTTTAAAAAATTCTATTAAAATTGTCGATAATAATTGAATTTATATTAAAATTCTTGAAAATAATTAAATTTAATTTATATAAATTAAATTGTGTGAAGAAATTCATAAAAAAAATCGGTAAATAATTGAATTCCTGTGAAATGTTTATTATTGTATAAAAATAATTAAAGATTTGCGTAGAATTTTATTAAATTTTTTTTTAATAATTAAATTCTTTTAGAAAATTTTATTAAAATAGTAAATATTAAAAATCATTAAATTAAGGAAATTTTTTGAAAATAATTGAAATTTTGCTAATAATTTTATTAAAATTTTGAAAATAATTGAATTTTGCAAAAGAAATTATTTAGAAATTCAATTTATTAAACAGGTTAAATTGTTAATACAAATTTTGAAAGTTGTACGTCAAACTCAACGGTTATTTAAATATAAACATTTATGAATAGAAAGCAATTGAAAATCGAACATCGTGACAGACGAATATCTATTTTCATAATTCAAAAAAAT